TCCCCTAGAGTGGCAAGCCCCTTTTCTTCATTTTAAATGTGCCACTTATAGTTGAAGTTAGTTAGATAGGGAATCTTTTATTTTTTAAAATAGATTTGATTCCTATTCATAAGGGAGTTTTTTATTATTATTATTATTATTATTATTATTAACTTTAACTTCCTATAGATTTTGGAAGATTTAGACAATAATAAAAGTGGTTATAGTTCAAATCTAAATAAAAGTTGGCCTTGGGTCAATTTATAAAAGGATAAGGTTCTTAGTTTCCAACGAGAATCATTATAGCTGATTTGTGGGATAGATGGCTCAGATTTGATCTCTCTCACCATACAGATTTCCCAATATCCAAATGATCAAGCTGAAAATTTAGATAAGGCATACTTAGATTAGAATTCTATTCAAAGTAGGAAATGGGTTTTATTCTATTTAAATCTATTTGAACCATATCTCAAAAGAAATGACAAGATTTCTCTATTTCTCATGCCCTAGGATCTCTCTCTCATGCCATACTCTTCTCTCTCTCATGGCATGCTTCTAATGCAGTCGATATTGTCGCGTTTGACTATCTGCAGCAGTCGCACCGTGATCGGGTGACGAAGAAATAATTTTTTTTAATGTCTTTTTTTATGAGTCTGTTAATTTGGTTTTTAGGAAGTGCGATTTTTTAATGAATAGATAAGTTTGTTTTTATTTGTGGAAGGCTTGCATTTGCCTTTATGGAATCTTGGGGCTTTGGATAAGGCTTGGCCCTTATTAGACGTGAGTTGGACTTAACTTTAGAAAGGTATTCTTAGGGCTTATCTATTGGATGGTGCGTGAGTAGGAATTCTATTAGGAATGGGTTTTAGAAAGGTCTTTGTCTTGCAAAGGAAGAAAGAAAACTTTGTATTAAAAGGGAGGAGGGGAGCTGTAAACAGAAGTTTGGAAATGTGAATAAAATTTGATGGTACTTTATAGTACATGAAAAGCTAGAGAGAGAGAGAGAGGGAGATAATACCTTATTTGTGGGTTTGTCTTATTCTTCCCTCTTGTGCTTGTGGGCCTATACCGAACTCCTCGGATTTACACATTTGTTCTTTCTTCTTGTGATTCCCTTCTCATTTTTTATCTCTCTAAAACGCGATTATTTTTATCAGTGTTGTTTGCCGATAAATTTTGTACAATGTCAGGTGGTATCAGAGCCTAGATTCTTGTGCGATTGCATACTCTTGACAAGGCGTCATGGTTCGTGGTCGTCCGCGATAACAAGATGCCAGGAATGAGCCGATCCAGCAAGAACGGGAACCTCCGGGAGATAGAGCTTGAAATTTTGAAAAGGCAAATAGAGGAATTGATTCAGCGCTTGGCGCAAATCCAACCCCGACACACTATGATAACATTTGTGAGTCGAAAGCTGTTTTCGATAACCCGTTTCATGCGCACGCTCCACGTTGAGAGCCCCATGTTCGGGATAACAGATCATGGGATCTTGGTATTAAAGTTGATCTACCAGAGTTTGCAGGAGGATTGCAAGCGGAAGAACTTATTCATTGGATAGATTCTATCGAGCGCATCTTCGAATACAAAGATGTGCCCGATGATAGGAAGGTGAAGCTCGTGGCTATTAAGCTTAAGGCCATGCGTCAACATGGTGGGAGGAATTGAAAAAGACTCGAGAAAGACAACGAAAATCGAAAATCGAAAAATCTCTTATTGGGAAAAGTTGAAGAAAAAGTTATGGGAGCAGTTCTTGCCCTTTAACTATACCCAGACGATTTTTCAGCAACTTCATACCCTTCGTCAAGGGGGGTGGTCCATTGATGATTATATTGAGGAGTTCCATCATTTAGTTGCACGGAACAACTTGTCTGAGACTGAAGAGCAGCTTGTTGCCCGATACATAGCGGGATCAATTCAGGACGTCCTAAGTTTACACCCTCTATGGACTGTTTTGAAAACCTGTCAACGGGCTTTAACAGTAGAGAAACAACAATCCATGAGTAGGGCTAGTGCAGCCACGAGAGGAGATTCGGGTCTCTGAAGAGGCACCATCTGGGGACCACAGAGATGTCGCCACAACACCTATTAATCGCCCAAATATTGCTGGTCAAGGTGCTTGAGTTCAGGGCAGCAGCTCAACTCTACGTTGTTTCAAGTGCGGGGAGGCGGGTCACAAGGCCAGAGATTGTAGGAAGCTGAATAGCCGTCCTGATAAAAGCAACCAACTCATGATTATGGATAAAAACCTAGATAATGTTGATGGGTATGATGCTGATCAAGTTTATGATGAGGAGCCAGATGATGATGATCTTGTCTATGGAGATGTTGGAGAGTCCTTAGTTATTGGAAAGAGCCTACTAACACCTAAGAAAGAAACCTAGGAGGATTGGTTGAGGGTCAATATTTTTCACACCACCTGTACCATTGGAGGCGAGGTGTGCAAGCTTATTATTGACAGTGGGAGTTGTGAGAATGTAATCTCACAAGATGCGGTCACAAAGCTCAAGCTTGGCACCGAGAAACATACCCAACCATACAAGCTCACTTGGTTCAAGAAGGGCAATGAGGTATGAGTAGAAAGTAGATGTCACGTTTATTTTTCTATTGGAAAAAAATATTTTGATGATGTATGGTGTGATGTGGTTGCCATGGATGCTTGTAATCTATTATTGGGTAGACCATGGCAATATGACCGTAGCGCTATACATGATGGGAGGAGGAACACATATACTATTTGGAAAGAAATAATAGAACTGTGTTAGCTCCCATGAAAGACGAAACTACACCTAAGCCTAAACCAGGGGAGGGTGTAAATTTACTCTCAATGGCTAGCTTTATGGAGGAGGTTCAGGAGACTAGATTAATGTTTGCTTTAGTGGCTCATGAGGAGGGTTTAGATTATGTTATTTCAGAGGAGGTTAAATCTCTGATTGAGGACTATAGTGATGTCATGCCAAATAACCTCCCCTCGGGTTTACCACCCATGCGGGACCTACAACATCACATAGATCTCATTCCAGGGTCTAGCTTGCCAAACAGACCAGCATAACTGCATGAGTCCTAAAGAGCATGAAGAACTTAAGAGACAGGTTATAGAATTACTTGAAAGGGGTTTTATTTGCGTTAGCATGAGTCCATGTGCAGTGCCTGCTCTATTGACACCAAAGAAAGATGGTAGTTGGCGAATGTGTGTGGATAGTAGGGCCATAAACAAAATCACTGTGAAATATCGTTTCCCTATTCCTAGGTTGGATGACATGTTGGACAAACTTTCTGGTGCCAACGTTTTTTCCAAAATTGACCTAAAAAGTGGTTATCATCAGATATGCATTAGGCCTGGGGATGAGTGGAAAACGGCTTTTAAAACACATGATGGTTCATTTGAGTGGTTGGTTATGCCATTTGGGTTGTCAAATGCTCCTAGTACCTTCATGAGAATATGAACCATGTGCTCAGATCCTTTGTTGACAAGTGTGTTGTCGTGTACTTCAATGATATATTAATTTACAGCCCTTCATGTGAGACTCATATGCAACACCTCAAGGATGTTCTTGAAACTCTAAGGCAAGAGAAACTATATGCTAATATTAAAAAATGCAGTTTCATGACAGATAGTGTGGTATTTTTATGTTATGTTGTTTCTTTTGAGGGGGTAACAGCAGATCAGTCCATGGTAACGGCTATACCTGAGTGGCCTACTCCGTGCAGCATACATGATGTCCGCAGTTTCCATGGTTTGGCTTCTTTTTACAGGTGGTTCATTAGAAATTTTAGTGCACTTATTTCACCAGTTACAGATTGTTTGAAAATGCGAAAATTTCAGTGGACTCCAGAAGCAGAGCAAAGTTTCCAACAGATTAAGAAGAAAATGTTAGAAGCACTTGTATTGGCCTTACCTAACTTTGATAAAAAAATTGAAGTTGATTGTGATGCATCAGGAGTTGGTATTGGTAGTGTTAAGTCAAGAAGGAAAACTGGTGGCATTCTACTGTGAAAAGCTCAATGGATCCAAGGTTAATTATTCTCCTTATAATGTTGAGTTTTATGCCATTGTACAAGCACTAAGGAATTGGAAGCATTATTTGGTGCAGAGAGATTTATTCTTTACTCAGACCACGAAGCCCTTAAATACATCAATGGCCAGTACAAATTCAATAGAACGCATGCTAAATGGGTGTCTTACTTGAAGGAGTTTACTTTTACCTTGAAGCATAAAGCAGGTGTTCATAACACGGTACTTGACGCTTTGAGCAGGAGAGCCACGCTACTTACCACTATGAAGGTGAATGTAGTGGGATTTGATACCTTCAAGGAGTTGTACCAAGATGATTCTAAATTTGGAGCAATTTTTAGTGAAGTTTTAGCAGGAAAGCGTGACGATTATTTTGTGCATGATGGTTTTCTCTTCAGAGGCCTTAGACTATGTATACCAGATTGCTCACCACAAGATTAGATCATCAGGGAGTTGCATAATGAAGGTCACTTCGGTCGTGACAAAACCATGGCCTTGGTGTCTAAGGATTATTTTTTACCCAAGATGTTGCATGACATTGATAGATTTGTAGACATATGCTATATTTGTCAAGTCTCCAAAGGAAATGCATAGAATATTGGACTCTATACTCCATTACCTTGGGAGGATATTAGTATGGATTTTGTGTTGGGGTTACCAAGAACACAGAGAGGCATGGATTCAGTGTTTGTGGTGGTTGACAGATTCTCTAAAATGGCACACTTTATTGCCGGTAGAAAAACTATGGATGCTTCTAATATTGCAAAAATTTATTTCAAAGGGATTGTTCGATTGCATAGCATTCCAAAGTCAATCACTTTAGATAGAGATACAAAATTCATGAGTCATTTTTGGAATTCTCTATGGAAGTTGATGAGAACTGAGTTATATTTTAGCAGCGCATATCATCCACAAACTGATGGTCAGATAGAGGTACTGAATAAGAGCTTGGGAAATTTATTGCGCAGTTTGGCAAGAAAGAAGCCGAAGCAGTGGGATTTGGCTTTACCTCAAGCTGAATTTGCTTTCAACAGGTCCCAGAATCGACCTACTCAGAAGAGCCAATTTGAAGTTGTCTATGGATATAATCTAAGCAGTGTGCTAGATTTGACTCCTATACCTGAGGCAAGGAAATTTAATGGTAAGGTAGAAGATTTAGCTAATCAAATCAAAGACATCTAAGAGCAGGTTAGGAAGCAGAAGTCAGTAATACAAAATACAAGGCTGTTGCAGATAAGCATCGTCGCAAGCAAGCGTTCGAAGTTAGAGATTATGTGTGGGTTGTTTTGACCAAAGATAGATATCCTGCTAAGGAGTATAACAAGCTCAGTAATCGGACGATCGAGCCGTACGAATTCTAAAAAAGATCAATGACAGTGCCTACAAGTTAAAGCTACCAAGCCACATGCGGACTTCTGATGTTTTCAATGTCAAGCACTTAATTCCCTATGCAGGAGATACTTCTAGTGACGAAGAGCTTAACTCAAGGACGAGTTCTCTCCAACCAGGTGAGGATGATGCAGTTGAGATTATCGTTCTCGACTATCTGGAGCGGTCAGATCGTGATCGGGCAATGAAGAAATAATTTTTTTTAATAAGTCCTTTTTTTCTCAGTCCGTTAATTTGTTTTTTAGGAAGTGCGATATTTTAATGAATGGATAAGTCCGTTTTTATTTGTGGAAGGCTTGCATTTGCCTTTTTGGAATCTTAAGGCTTTGGATAAGGCTTGGCCCTAATTAAACGTGAGTTGGACTTAACTTTAGGAAGGTATTCTTGGGGATTATTTATTGGATAGTGCGTGAGTAGGAATTCTATTAGGATTAGGTTTTAGAAAGGCGTCTTTGTCTTGCAAAGGGAGAAAGAAAACTTTACACTAAAAGGGAGGAGGGGCGTTGTAAACAGAAGTTTGGAGATGTGAATAAAATTTGACAGTACTTTATAGTACGTGAAAGGCTAAAGACAGAGAGAGAGAGATAATACCTTATTTGTGGGTTTTTCTTATTCTTCCCACTTGTGCTTGTGGACCCGTGCCTGACTCCTCGAATCTGAATGTTTGTTCTTTCTTCTTGTGATTCCCTTCTCGTTTTTTATTTCTCTCTCTAAAACGTGGTTATTTTTATCGATGTTGTTTGCCAGTAAATTTTGTACTGCATCAGCTTCTCTCCCTCTCACACCTAGAAAAGAAAATCTCGTTCTTTCCTACAGGCCCATATTGATCTTTCTCTCTCATTCAATTTTAATCACGTCTCTCTCCCATTTGTCTCATAAAGAGTCACGCCATCCACATAAAGAAAAAAAGGAGGCGGCACCCCTTAATTAGGGTTTGCTGTATTTTGAAAAAAGAAGGGAAAAGCTCAACCTAGAGAGAGATCAATTTACAAATTCAGCCTTAAGTTGTTCCTACAGGGTTTGTGAAAATCCTAGTTAAGTTTTTGAGCTCTCTAAAACCCTATATTGGAAGGTCTTGTCTAAAAAGCTTCTCATCTCAAAATTTCCAGCAACACCTAAAAGACTAAAAGTGCGCCATCAATCAAGGAATTGGGTGTGGGGTCTCTCTCTCTCTATAAACACTAAGCTCTCCCTTTCATTACATATCCTGTTTTCTCATTTCATATTTGTCAACCTTCTTTGCAAAATCCTCTTTGCAAATTCCCTTCACATTGATCTCGTCCAAGTTTCTCTTCCGAATTTGTATCGCCGTCCTACACAGCAAAGCTTGCATGATGTGTAGCAAAAATCCTCTTTGCAAGTTTGTCCTCCAAATTTGCACAAATCATTACCCATCTCATTGATTCTAGCACAGCAAAATTTACATCTCGTCCTCTCTTCCAAATTTCGTCCCTTTGCGAAATTTGTTTTGCATCCCTTAAAATCTACCTTTTGCTTTTGAGCCTATAAGGCTGTTGGGCCACAAGAGCCTATTACAAACAGACGATTTGTATAAGGTCACAATCCTGGTTAAGTTGATTTTATATGCTTTCTTTCCCTGAAAAAGATTTTTCATTCACATCGAGTCTCTGAAGAAAGTACCGATGTTTTTGTATGAGATGGAACTGATGCTCCCCCAATTTCGGAGTTAATGTAAGTGACATCGTCTTCCTGAAAAATAATCTGTTTTTAATAAATAGTGATATTTCCGTCCAGGATCTTTATTTTATAAGTTTTGTGTGTAAGTGACCTTATTGTCTCGAAAAATAATCCATTCTTTTGAAAAATAAAATGAAATAATTATTTCTACTTATTATCATGAATTTTAGGCGCGATAAATTTTATGCGCACGCGACCACATTATCTTGAAAAATAATCTTTTTAATAAAAATTGTGATATTTTATCTATGTTAGAAATTTTAAATGCTGTAAATTCTTAGAAAAATAAATTTATTTATTTTTCTTGTCTATTGTTAGAAAATTTTAGATACTGTAAAATTATTAAAAATCAATGTAATATTTCTGCTGTTAGTAAAATGGTGAGAATTCTTTCTATTGTTTTTGAATATTTAGACATTGTAAATTTCATGTGCAAATGACTGCCTTATTATTTGAAAACTGATATTTTTGCATTTGATTAAAGCATTGTCTGTGAAATGTTCATTTGTCAATTGATATCCCATAAATTGTGATAATTCCGTATTCTTGAATTTCTATAAGAGTTTTTCTATACATATTAAATTGGCAATTATGCTAGAATGTCTTTACGAACTGTTACCTTTCTAAATTTGAGCCCAAAATATTTGATTGGTTATTTTTGAAATGTTATTGAAAGTGAATGTTATTAATGGTTTCAGTGAGATTCATATTAATGATTTCAGTGATATGCTGAGTACATGATATTGCTGCTTTCGAATGTTTAAAGAGATTTAGAAATAATTTAATTATGCAAGTGGACTCATCCGGTTCGCCGGTGAGGTATAAGTGGACCTATTCGGGACGCCGGTAGGGATTAAGTGGACTCATCCGGTACGCCGGTGAGGTATAAGTGGACCTGCAGGGATTAAGTGGACCTATCTGGGACGTCAATAGGGATTAAGTGGACCCATCAGGACGCTGATGGGGTATATAGGTGACCTACTTGGGACGCCAGTATGGTTTTTTGTGAAATCCTTTGAATTATGTACTACCGTTAAAAGTGTTATAAGCATTTCAATTACTTGGATTAGACTTAATTATGTATTTATTGAAAGTGAAACTGTTGATGCATTTCCGTTAATAGATCTCATTTTGGAAAATATTGATATCTTTCAATCATGATTATTTTTAGGATTATGATGATCACTTACTGAGTAGCCAAACTTATCAAACTATGGTAAACATTTTTTCAGGATAACTACGGATTCATTTTGAGTGATAGTCAAGATCAACCTTGGAAGATACTGTTGTTGTACTAGCTTTCTTTATTTACTTTGTAAGACCTCGCCACTGTAAATTTGTCCTATCAATAGATGTATATATGTTTTGTCTGTCACATCTCAGGAATAACAGTATTGTAAATTCTTGGGGTGTGACAAAGGTGCTTCTTTGGAAAGAGCTGAACCCTAAAAAAGAGGCCTGAACAAAAGGCCCAAAAGGGTGCTTTCTCTTACGCGGCATTCAGACCTTGGGTAAAAGGAAAATGTAGATATCCCTCCTTTTATAAAACCCGGTAGCACAAGGGCCAATCAACGGGTGATTCACCACCCCAATCACATGAGAATCCCGGTGGCACGCGAAGCAAAGTGTTGGAGGCCAAGCACCGAGGCTCCGGCAGTTTGTGAATCGAAATATCCCACGAGCCAGCATAACGCACCTTGAAGGTACGGTTGTACGAGCAGCAAGCCAAGCGACGTGCCACACGTGCAGAAGATTACGCTCAGTCCAGAGGAAGCACTAAGGGCACATAATTGACGTATGACATCAACGCTGCCTCCCCCGCTCGGCATTAACTGCTGCATGCATGACGTGCTTGCCTGGAACGACAAGTCTATCGCCATCTAAATGCCTTCCAGCTCATGCATGAAATCTAACTCCACTCGGCCTGCCTACAACCAGGGCCCACTCAGACCACCTGGGGCATGCCTCCACACCGCTTTACTTCGCTGGCAAGCAAACCCTCTCCCTTGTCTCACCCACATATAGGATCCCTTGAGGTCTCTCTAAAAGAAACTATGGGGCCTTGTGAAAATCGGCAATGACGCATTACACAAGCGTAGGGATGAAAACCTGCAAGGGCATCCCAACCATCATCAAGCAGCAAGCATCAACCGCCTCACGGGCACATCATGAATTGCATCGTCCATTCCTGATCTCGACAATCAGCAGCGATAAGGACTACATCAGCCCTCAAAAAAAATGAAGGAGAGAAGCACATGGAGACACAAGGCAGAGGAGGGGAATTCAATGTAAAAGGGGATTCCATTTCATGAACAAAAAAAGATTACATGTTTGTTACAATGCAGTTTGTGACATAAAAACATGTACATCTATTTTGAAGTGGGTCTGCTCCTTTCAAAGGGCAAACCACCCCCCCCCAGTGGTGGTGCCTTCAAGAGGTGGCATCTATTTCCTCAAGAAAGACTTGAAGAACATGGGGAGTGCCGCCTCCTTTAATTCATCCTCCAATGAGGATGATAGGCCCGCAGCGCGTCATACATAGTCGCAGGCCTCATGCCATGAGTCCCGAACAAACAGAGGAGCATCACAACAACAAGCTCGCCTCTGTCATGGGTCCATCATCACCTCCGCAAAGCTGAACACCTTCACAAGGATGCCTAACTCCCGTACGCACCCTAAAGGTCCATGTCAAGCAGTCAGCCCCCACAGCGGGCATCGCTCACTAACCAGGCTCTCTAAAGAAAACGAAGTCTCTGTGTTGCATCCCCACAAAGGAGCATCCAAAAAGGAACTTCGTCACAAAAAGGAGAAAAGCTGCAATCATGCTCTCCTACCTAGCCCCTTTTAAAGGCCTAGGCTCATCAAACCTTGCTGCTTCGCAAGCGCCTTCCCTCCCAATTGCTCAACCACGTGTCACTACAATGACGCCTTGTTGAC